GCCAGTTCAAAAGTAGTGGCAGTGACACTTTGGTACTGCATAAGAAGCTTTAAGGAAATTTCCTTCTAGATAATCTGATAGAAAGAAAATGCTTTATCTTTCTATGCTATTTAATCATACTTCAAATGATATCATAATAATAAAAGTTCAGTAATATCTGTTTTCCTATCTTATGTGACGGTTATACAAAGGCTTATTCAGTGAATATTTTTTCAATAAATTTCGATAAAAAAAAAGATAGAAAGTTGTGGTTTTCATCGTTTGAGAGAAGAGATGAAAATACCAGCATTGAATTGTATATTATAAATGTATTGACATAATCTTTTAAAGGTTTTTCAATCAACCTCCTTGAAAGCAAACATGCTCATGAGGTCTTTGCAGTGATTCGCTAATTTTGAAATGTATGTTGAAACTAACGATAGAAGATCTAGGGTGTGGGTGTGTGGGTGTGGGTGTGGGGTGTAGGGTGCGGCTGTGGTGTGGGTGTGGGTGTGGGTGTGAATCTATGACAAAAGTAACACCCACACACCCACACACCCACGCCCATACCCACACCCACACCCACACCCCATACCACACCCCATACCACACCCATCCACACCCACACACCCACACCCCATACCCACCCACACCCCATACCCACCCACATACGAAAATGTTTTATGCAGTGGAGAATAAAAAGAAATCAACAGCTTGGAATTTTCCAGTTTGACTCATAATCTACATGCAGTAGTCAAAGCAAACAATCAACAGAAATGAGTAAGGTGAGCATAGAAACAACTACTATTTTAATGTCTTGGGCAATAATCAATAGTTTTTAAAGACTGTGTTTCTTATTATTATTGTTCTATCATCAAAACCAACATTGAAGATAAATTGTAATGGAACCCATTATTAACATTCAACCACAACCAAATATCAATCGAAACCCAAAACGCCGCGTTATAGTGTGTCTTTTAGGACCCTCTACTGGTAGTAAAAGCAACTGCACAAGGAGCAAGAGTGGTCTTGTTAGGATCTCTAGTGCAAAACGCTTCCAATATGAAGAAAATAAACTAAGAAGTGATCTTAAATCTTGGATACCAATGTCTTCTCAAATAAATGAAGCAAACGATGAAATATTGCAGCAGATGGGAGGAAAACCTATCATTTATAACAATATAGAAGATTGCTATCAATATATCAGGTCGTACGAGAGCAAATGCATTATCCTCATCTTATCGGATGAATATGCAAAAAACCAGAGTATTGTTAAATATTTTAAAAACCTTAAACAAATCGTTGCAGTCTACCGTTGCATACCTCAATCATATGTCAAGAAATGTTGGAAGCACTGGTCCTTCGAGAATAAATGCGCTATTCCAAGTATACTGCCCGGAAAATTGCTTGATCCTCATGTACACGATTTAGATGCAGTTAGTCAACTTGTACTCATGCAAATTGGTTTTATCGAACACATACTAAAAATTCCGTTAGCGGATAATGTCAGAGAAGAGTTTTGTACGTTTTGTCATGAGACATATAAAGATCGTGAAAACTACTCAACGTATGTGCAACAAATACAAGACTTTAACGACAATTATAATCCAAAGGATGCGATCAGATGGTATACGAGAGCTAATAGTTTCCTCTACCGCATGGTCTGTAAAGCATGCGCTTCTCTTGATTTTTCGGCTTTCTTTAAAATTCGTTTTTACCTCCGCGATCTCTATGTACAATTGAAAGAACTTCACGACAGTCAGTTAGAAATATTGTTAGACACAAATCTAATAGTTTATAGAGGCATGATTATGTCGACAGACGAATTAGACACCTTAACATCCGATGGACAATTACTTGTCACGAGAAATTTCTTGTCTACTACGATAGATAAAGATGTCGCAATTCGGTATGCTGATGAGGGCGCACACAGTGACGCTGGGAAATCAGTTCTTATTTCCATAACAATCGATGATGTAGAAATAAAAGAGAAGCCAATAGCATATATTAATGAATACAGCGCAATTCCAAATGAGTACGAAGTTATGCTTCCGTTCGGAATGGTACTTCGTGTCAAATCATGGAAGAGGAATGGGGACCATCCAAATTACATCTGGGAAATTCACATGGTTCACGGAGAAGATGAAGCAAGAATAGAAAAACAAGTTAGTCGACTCCTTAATTTGGCACAAACCAGCGGTAGTTGTCTGCTTCTGGGTACGCAAATCTTTTTGGCAACAAAAACTAATGGTCCAAATACTGGAAATCTTGGTGAATTCGCGTTTCAGAAGACAAAAATGTTAGATATTTCATCTGCTGAACAATTGTCAACTGTAGCTCACAAGAGCGACCCAGCTATGGTGGTGAGTAGATAAATTTGTCTTCATTTGTCCAACAAACATATTGAGTTAGCCAGATTGACTTGAAATGAAATTTTGTACTTCGTTCACAAAAACAAAATTACAATTTTTTCTGCAGAATTCGTAGATAGTTTTTTCCATCTACTGCTATGTTTCCAAAAAACTTAACTTTTTTTGGTAATCGCTGTAAGCAGTTGAATATGCTAGGAATATAATCAGTATGAGTATTCTACGGTTTTGATTATTCAAAAGAATTGATTTCGTAGAGAATTGATAGTCAATGTGACAAAGTGAATGATGCATAGACTGACCCACGCAGACAATCAATCTTTATATTAGAGCATGAGGGTGCATGTGATTCTTTTCTTTTGTGATCCTCACACCGACATCTATATCCACGCTAACCTACATTAACACAACACCTTGACCACACCTACACACATTCTATCTTAGTATTTGGTTCATTGACCAGGCACTATCAGTCAGTCATTTTTGATTCACACATCCATTTCCATTCTTTTGTGATGTGTAACTATTGAAATCTATCTCAAATTGTTCTCTAAATCTGATAATTCTTCTCATCATTTTTTGGCAGTTAGAAATTCGATTTTTGAATGGTTGAATATTAGGGTGTATCTTGATTGATACAATTTCGATTATGACATGAATAAACTTGAGTACAGTATCTTCCGAACGATTTGACTAGCTAAAGCAAGGAAAAGACTACTGAGCTTCGTATCTGTGAAGACTTACAAGAATCTATCTCTTTATACTTGTTTCATGATATTTTTTTTCGCTGTTAGTTTTGTTTTATATTACAGAAAATGAGGAAAACACATGTTATAAGCAGAAAGGAAGAGTGATAATTTACAAGGGGTAGAAAAAAAGCAGGTGTTGAAGGAAGCAGAAAAAATGTATTGGCAAGGCGAAATAACGGCAACTTTAAACTTGATCTATCACTATTTTTATAGCATTTTAAATACTATTTATCATTTAGAAATAGTCTTTATGGATTCTAAATACCGACAAAAGAAAAATTCAGGAAATAAAACTGGCCTTCGAAAAAATGATTAGCGAAATTTATCCAACCCTATCATACTGGATTCTAATAGCTTAAAATGAACGAGAATTGAAAGAGAAAACAAATTCTAAACACAAATCTGTAACTGTAAATTAACATGTACATTTTGAAAAGGCGTATTGAGTTTACCATTTTTATAATTCTTATACAGCTTGGACAAGATTTGTTTATGACTCAGACATCAGACAATGCTGTCGGCTCAACAATAGATGATTTTCACAACATAGCAGACAATAATGCTTCACAATCCAATGTGAATATTCAAAACATACAAAGTAGCTTAGTGGTGAGAAGTGTTGACCAAGTTTAATCGAATATTTTAACTGAAAACTATGTTCATAGACTCATACAATAGTAACACTAGCCGCTGAACACATCACTAATACAAATCAAATGGTTTCCAATACGATGTCAATCATTTCTTCGGAACAAAATATCATGAATTTTTTCACCAGTTTCGTCACTGTCGCTACGATACTGACTTCCTTGGTGTTTATTCTTGGTGTCGGTCTCACATCTGGTGAGTCCGTCTGACAAGGGAACATACCGAGGTGTTCAAGCCGTTTAGGCTCCATCTTTTGGCCATAAGTAGATCTCAATGAAGTATAAAAAACCTAAAGAGGATTCATCTCTTCATGCCTTTATTTCCGAAATATTGAATGTTTAAGAAGTTTTCCCAATAGGATCCCAGATTTACAGCAAAATCGTATTACTGAATTTTGACCTGAGACTTTGTGCATATCAACCTCTCAAGTAGAGTGGGTTGTGCACAAAATTTCAGAATTTTATAACGTAGTCTTTAAGAGATATTCATTTCCCAAACTATCTGTCTTTTCTACAATATATGTGGAAATGGGCCTATATTTTGAGAAATACATATCTCTTAAAGACTACGTTATAAAATTCTGAAATTTTGTGCACAACCCACTCTACTTGAGAGGTTGATATGCGCAAAGTCTCAGGTCAAAATTCAGTAATACGATTTTGCTGTAAATCTCGGATCCTATGGGGAAAACTTCTTAAAAATTCAATATTTCGGAAATAAAGGCATGAACAGATGAATCCTCTTTTAGTTTTTTCATACTTCATTGAGATCTACTTATGGCCAAAAGATGGAGCCTAAACGACTTGAACACCTCGGTATATTCTCTCGTGAGTGTTGTATTCTCTGATTTGTTGAGCTAAGAAATGATAAATAGACTAATATTTTTCATTATAAAACATTAAGATACTTCCAGTTCAATCTTAACTCATTTTAAAGTGAACGATAATACAGTTTCAATAAATGGAAGTTTTTATGTAAATACTCATTTGATTCAAAAGGTTTTATGAAAAATCTTTTAAAGGTCTGTCCAATTTTGAAATTCATTATCTAGTCATTCCTTCAGTATAAAAGATATTCTCTTTATCTTTTCAAATTTCGTCTACTGATGTTAAATGTTTTTTTAGCAACAAACTTAACGACAATTTGTCCTCATATATATTGCACAGCTATCTCCTCTGTTCAAAATCCATCACCGAATTATCAGGTCGAACATCTCGATTTCAATTGTTCTCAAAGTCTTTCTAACATGACCATCATGCAAGTTGTACAACGCAATTTCAATGAAACTCATGCTCAACAGTATCAAACATTTTGGAATTATTCAACGAACATGACACATTTTGAAAGTCCAACACAATTAATCTACGTCTGGTATTCTTTACCCGGTATGCATATTGTTAAAGAGAGTTTTCCTCATTTTATCGAAGCACAATTTTATTATACGACCGGCTCGCCACGCGTCCCAAGCAATGATACTTGGCAAATTCATCTTCAATCTATTTGTGGAGAATTCCTGTATCTATTTGGAACTTTTTAATCCATTTTTTTCAGATTATGTTTTATGTTTATATTTCTAAGCTTAGCTATTCTAGAGAAATACATCTGTAAATTTCACATGAATGAATTTCGTATTCGTTGTAACCTTAACATCAGAATACAAAAATAGTGACATGGAAAATAGCGTATGATTTATAAAATATTTTTTATCAGTTTCTTTTTTAAATTCAAAAATCAAATTCAAAAATATCTGATTAGGTAAGCCGCCATCATCTTCGTCAATATAAACGAACGAGATCTAGTGAAAAGGAAGAGTGTCGTTTAAATAAATTAGTTTTAACTAATTGATGATTCGATAAGAGATGAATTGTCATACATGACAAATAATTAATCTCCTATATATATAAGGAAGTGACTATGTACACATATGTGTACATAGCTCGTCGGCTATGTGCACTTGTGTGTACATAGCCAAGTGGCTATGTACACACAAGTGTATATAGCTGGCTGACTATATACACATATGTGTATATAGCCCTTTGGCTATGTACACACATGTAGATATAACCAATATATTAGTAAATATGAAGTCATATTATAATATTATATGTATTTGTTGATTAATATAAATTAATTATCTAAGTTTTCTCATAGTTTTATCAATTCTTTATTATATACGAATAAAGTATAAATCATATAGAAAATAAATTAAGTCAAATAAAGATCAATAATTCAGCAGCATTTCTGGTGCTTTCTTTGGTTTTAAACGAAACAGTTGAATTTCATTATTTTAAATAGAATACATGATAACCATCTAGTGTTAGCGCTTATCTTCCCTCTTCATTTTATCATATTTTTTTGTCGATCACTTATGTAAAGAAAAATTTTATAGCTTCTTTTCTTAGTTGATTGGTTTAAAAATCGGAAACTGAAAAATAGAAAAAGTCAAATAACTTGACATCTGAGAACATAACCTTTATTAAGATAGATTGATTAATCTTTACTTTAATCTTTTTCTCTATCGAGCTAATTCATATTTTTTCAAATGAAATGAAATGAATTGATAATTGTTATAATAAAATGGACCGATTTCATATAACCTCATTTATAGTATTAAATAAATCCTCTTGTATTATTAAAAAGTCTATCATAATCATTCTCAATGTCTGTTACAGAAAGGTATATATTGCTATTATAGTTAAATCTAAGTATATTGTTTCGTGCTTATCGTAATTCTTCAACCAGAAAAATAAAGCAAGATAATTATTCTCTCTTTAAAAAGCAGTTTGATAGTTGGGCACATTTTGAGAAAGAATTTAAAAATTGGTGCATTAATTGTTATCAACCAACGAATATAAAACGTTCTTCAATGAAATATAATGAAAAAATCACGAGAGAATTATTTAACTATGTTCAGTACCAAAATGTAATGTATGTATGTCATCATAGATGTCCTGTTCGAAGACATATAAAAGATGAATTAAGACCAAACCAAGAATCGGCTCGATTATATTGTGAATTTATTCTCTTTCTCGTAGAGAAGAGTCTTGTGAGAATAAATTGTTTGTTTGCTTGCTTGTATGTCCGCACTTCAGTGATTGGTCCAAAAGCAGGTGAAGACAAAAAGGATTATTTTCCATAAAGCTTGACCAAAGGGTAATCGAGGATGATGAGTTGGGATCTGAGGTTAGTTTTAACTAACTATTGATTATTAATTAATTAATATTTAATATTTTTAATAAAACTTGACCAAAGGGTAATCGAGGATGAGGAGTTCGAATCTAAGACTAGTTTTAACTGATTATTAATTAATTATTAACTATTCATTAATTATTAATGTTTTCTATAAAACTTGGCCAAAGTTTATTGAAGATGGGGAATCCAAATCTGAGCTCAGTTTTTGCTAACTTATTACTAATGAATTATTAGCTAAGTATTAATTAATTATAAATTATTATTATTTTTCGTAAAACTTCACTGCGGGTTATTGAAGGTAAAGAATTCAAATCTGATATCAGTTTTAATTAATTAATTAATAATTAGTTATTAACTAATTATTAATCATTATTATTTTAAATAAAAATTCACCATAGGTAATCAACGATGAAGAGTCTAAATCTGTGATCCGTTTCCATTAATTAGCTATTAATTAATTAATAGTTATTAGTTTATTGTATAAAGCTTCATCAAAAGTAATCAAGAACGGGTGATTTGATTACGGGCTCCATTGGAATGATTCAATGATTTAGAGAGCAGGGATATGAGTGAGCCAGAGATGAATAACATATCTATATAAAATGAATAATTTGCTGATAATAAGAAAGTAGTTTTTCTACGAGAAAGAGCTAAGCGAGTCCATAGACGAGCGTTACTTGTTTTAAAACGCTATACGGAATTAAATAAAATTGTTTTTATGAAAACTCAAAATTTAACTCATAACGATCCAAAAATGAGGAAGTTTATAAGAATTATTCAGTTTAAACAGATAAAGCATTAGAGATAGAGATGTTCCATCTTTAATGTTTTATGATCAGATATCTTTTACGTGATCATTATGTTAAATGTATTGAAAATAATGAAATTTAATTGTTTCGTTTAAAACCAAAGAGAGAAAGCACTGGATATGCTGTTGAGTTGTTGATCTATATTTGACTTATACTTTATTTGTATGTAATAAAGAATTAATAAAATTATGAAAAAGCTTAAATATTTAATATATATTAATCAACAAAAACATAATATTATAATATGACTTCATATTTACTAATATATTGGTTGTATCTACCTGTGTGTACATAGCCAAAGGGCTATATACACATATGTGTATATAGTCAGTCAGCTATATACACTCGTGTGCACATAGCCACTTGGCTATGTACACATATGTGTACATAGTCACTTCCTATATATAAAGAAGAAAGTTTGTCTGTTTGTTCTTGATGCATTTGGACACGGTACGAGCAAATGCAACGAAACTTTTCAGGGACCCTCCTCTCATCCAGGAGAAGGTCAACGACTACTTTTTGTCGAAAAAATATCGATCCTCCACCTGCAATAGGCCCGCCTATGTATCTGGCCAATGAGATTGCAGCATTCGGGAGTATCGAAGAACTACTGAGCAGCACGTTGTGAGCAAGCACAAGACATGTACCTAAAAGTTTTCGAGAGTGCTGAGCTCGAATCTGCGGTCCATTTGCCTCGAAATCTGATTGGTTGGCCGAAAACCAATAGGAATTCAGCAGCCAAGAAACCAGCTAAGCAAAGTTGCGTTTTCTGAAAAAAAAAGTCGCGTACGAGTTTTTACAGGCGATCAGTTCGAATCTCGGGTCCAATCGCTTTGAAATATGATTGATTGACCGAAAACCAATAGGAATTTAGCTGCCAAGAAGCCAGCTAATCAAACTTGCGTTTTCGGGAAAAAAGTCAGGTAGAGATTTTTAGAGGCGGTGAGTTCGAATCTGGGGTCCATTCACATCGAAATCCTATTGGTTGGCCCGCAACCAATATGAATTTAGCTGTCAAGAAACCAGCTGATCAAACATGCGTTTTCGGGAAAAAAAAGACAGGCAGGGGTTTTTAGAGACGTTGAATTTCAATCTGGAGACTAATCGCTTTGAAATCTGATTGGCGGGCCGAAAACCAATAGGACTTCAGCTGCCAAGAAATCAGCTAATCAAACTTGCGTTTTCGGGGAAAAACTCAGGCAGGAGCTTTCAGAGGCGGTGAGTTCGAATTAGGGATCCAATCACCTCAAAATCTTATTGGTTAGCCTGACACTAATAGGAGGGTGGGTGTGGGTGTGGGTGTAGGTGTGGGTGTGGGTATAGGTGTGGGTGTGTGTGGGTGTGGGTGTGGGTGGGTGTGGGTGTGGG